TCTCTCCAGGGTACTATGCTCTTCAAGTACTATAATATGTTATATTTCAGTGTTATATAATTGACAATTCGTTTTCGATGAATTTCTAGGGCCACCCAGCCTTCGCGGCTCCCGACCCTGGATGGCCAGCCGAGTTGGGCTGCCCCAACTCTTCACTTCTACGCCGCATCGGTTACTCTAGAAGCACTTATGGTGGTGATTTCCCATTTTACTGTTGTAGTCGCCTCATTAGAAAGGAGTTATATAGGTTTGGCCGAGGGTGTCTTCACCCGCAGCTGGGATAGCCCTCCCTCCCTTGAAGCCCTGTCCTTCATGAACCGTAAGCATGCTATGCAGAGATGACAGAAACTTCGATTCTACGTCATCGCATCTACACGCAATCACAGTACGGCATACCAAGCCTCAACTTACGTTGCTGAAGTCTAAGAATGTTCTGCAGAAGGGACTGAAATTTCGATCCTATCTCGTCACATCCATATGCTATCGTAGTATGCCACACGAATCCGGAAATTAAGTTGCTGACTTGGTTTTCTCGCGTGTCGCGTTGCCGACCCAGCTCGGAAACCTGACGCTGGACCGGACCCTTTACTGTTTCTGCTCAGCTAACGTGCAGGAATGCGTAGCATGAATTGTGTGAAGCGAGTGCATGCGCTGCTACTAGCGTGAAGGCTGCCTACTAAGGACCATATAAGTGCTCTACAACTGTTTACAGTGTTAGTGCATGCCGTAGAGCAGAGGGGCTTGGCTCTGCTTGTATTGGGTGTTTTCCTGCAGCACCGGCTGCAACGGGGTAACCTGAAATTTACAGCATTTTAAACTCCATTGCGGAAGCATGTTAGGGTGTTCATATAGAGTGGCCGGATGCGGTGTATTCCATTGGCGTGTTCAATACGCCATACATCCATGGCCTTGAATCCCTGTAAAAAGCTTGCTCAGCGGTATTGCAAAGAGTCCTAGGTTCCCTTAGCACCTGCACCCGCATGGCTCATCCAGTTTTCAGACCCCAAGCCCTTTAGCTGCGAGGCCTTCAAGCGCTTGTCAGACGCCATATCTAACGATATGTGTAGCGAAGCGAACTATAGGATAACTCCAGAGTGGAATGAAATCCACGGGGAGCTCAAAGGAGAAGGATGCCAACTGCTGTGGCAGCAAAACCAAGGAACGTAGGCAATGCTGGTGCAGCGTTTTTGTTGAGGCCAGCGGTGATCTGATCCCACTGGGCTTGCCTGAAAACACATCCCACTCTCAAGCACTTTACCTCTGGGCTTACAGGAAGCCGTAAAAGACTGAAGAGTCCAACACTGAAATTCAACTTACGTGTATGGGGCTGCGTCTTTATTTAAGGCCTTTGGCGTGGTGACGCAAACAAGAGCCTTCACTTCTTTGTCTGTGGTGCTCCCACCCTCGCCGCCCGGTTTTGGACCGTCCACACCGCTATCAACTTCGGGATCTTCATCCCCTTCCCCTTCTCCCTCCCCGTCTCCGCCGGAAACATTGTTTCTCTGCTGCGAATCCGCCTGTTGTGCTGGGCAGGTGAAGTATGCGCAGTCCACTTTGGGATTTTCATTGGGGTTGAAAAGGGAAATGAAGGAAATATTCTGGGGGTCGGCATACGGCGCGGTTTCTCCTGTGTATTGCGGAGGCAGACTTTTGAAGTTGGAGAGGGCTGCCTTCCAGTGGTCCACTGCGGCTTTGCAGTCAGCACTAGCCCCTTCTTGAACCGCGTACGCGTAGGTGCCAGCCAGTGTGGCTGATTCTTGAGCGGACGCTGTATTCTGTTGGTTTTGTGAAGGACGCAGCACACAGAATACTCGGCAGGCTGTAGGAATGTGTGTATTCAAGTGGCTGTATATATTTGCGTATATATGCATAGGACGTGGAGTGAGGATACAATCAAGAAGTGTGGCCATTGACGGTTGTAATGCTACGACTTACATCTTTCAGTGCCGTGCACACTGAGTTCACGTACGCCGCTCCGGTTACGTCTCTTCCAGCGAGAGCTTCGTCTATTGGGAGTTTTTCGCCATCAGTCTTTCCCACTGTAAAGTCCGCGAAACCGACAAGGTTGCGGGCTGCGTTCATTGACGCCGAGCAGTCCACCCGATCTGCCTTGTCTGCATACGCACACCCAAAAACAAACAGGAGTGATTTGAATGTGGTTTCGCTTCGATTTCTTTATACTATAGGTGTATAAATAGGGTTTCAAAAGACTCACATCCTGTGGCCGCACCGTTAGACGTGTTTGCCCCGTTTGCGCCCAGCAAGAATATGGCGGCGGTGACCAACGGCAGGAACTTGAGACCAGCCATTCTCGAGGTCCAGCGGNGCCCAGCAAGAATATGGCGGCGGTGACCAACGGCAGGAACTTGAGACCAGCCATTCTCGAGGTCCAGCGGAGTAAGTGAGTGCGTGGGAGACCTAAAGCACTCCAAAACATATATGATCCTTCCAAGGAAGGGGAAAAAATGGTTGAAATAGATCATCGGCGATGCCAGCGTCGGGGTTGCGCGGGAGGCGGTCTCAAGTCTTGCTCTGGCTGCTGGCGCCAGTCCTCATTCTGCAGAGAGCACTTCCGTAATCCCGTTCACAACGAAATACAATTCTACAGTTACACTTCTTTGTATTATATAATAAATGATAATTCGTCTTTGACGAGTCTATGTGCGCATCCGCTGGGTATTTCTCGCAGGGTGCGCTCGAGAACCCAATTTCAGCATCTCCTCCCTTGCACCCCCGACGGTTTAGGACTCAGACGTTACTTTAGCAGGCTGTACTGTGGTGTTTCCGCGTTTGCATGGTGTTTTCGGTTTATGAAAAGACAAGCACGTATGAGTGTTCTGCAGCCAGGATTTTTCAAGCTCACCTTGAAAACCTGGTGGTGANGAAAAGACAAGCACGTATGAGTGTTCTGCAGCCAGGATTTTTCAAGCTCACCTTGAAAACCTGGTGGTGAGCCGAATCATTTCCTACTTATGTTTAGCTGACTTGCAGGAATGCTAAGCATGCACTGTGTGGCCTGGTGCTTCTACATGCGCGCAGGCTGCCTACTGGCTGCCTACTGAGGGCCAAGTAAGTGCTCAACAGTTTAATACAATGTTAGTGTATGCAGCAAGGGGGGCTTGATTGTGCTTGTATGCGGGGTTGCCTTGCACCAGCAGTTGCGCCAGGTTGCGCTGCGGCATATCACGTTGCGCTCGACCGTAGGAGCATATTAGAATGTGGGTGTAGCGTAGCTGAATCTTATGCATTCCATATGCTACGTCAATATTGCATATATTCATAACATTGCATCCACATAAAAAGCCTTATTGGCTGTGCTCTAAGGAGCACCAGGTTGCCTGCACGTCTATACAGACACTTGTCAAAAAGGCATTGGGTCTGAAATGAGCTAATTCCCGTTAGCTTTGAGGCTTGAAACGCTTATGCGACGCCATGCCTAACGGTTGCTTACACTGAGCCGGTTCTTGATGAAGCGAACAAGAGGCTGTGTGTACAGTGGAATGAGACCCACGAGGTGCTCATAGGAGGAGAACGCCAACTGCTGCAGCAGCAAAGCCAAGGGAAATAGGCAATGCATGTGCAGCGCTTTTGTTGAGTCCAGCAGTGATCTGATCCCACTGGGCTTGCCTGACACACACACGCAACTCTCGACAGCCAGCATCTATTAGCAGCAAAGTTCCTTTGAAAATGCGTTTCATCGCTCTTTGTGTGATCCCTAAAAGTGGGGTGGCGTTCACACATAAATTCGACTTACGTGTATGGGGCGGCGCCTTGCGTCAGGGCATTGGGGGTGGTGATGCAAAGAAGCGCCTTCACTTCTTTGTCTGTTGTGGTTTCACTCTCTCCTCCCGCATCTGGGTCTCCTTCGTCATCCTCATCGCCGTCGTCTTGTGGGGGGTCTTTCTCAGCACCGTCCCCTGTGCCCGCGCCAACATCGGTGTTTTGCGGCTTGGGCGTGTTCTCCTTTGCTGGGCAGGTGAAGTATGCGCAGTCCACTTTGGGGTTTTCTTTAGGGTTGAAAAGGGAAATGAAAGAAACATTTTGGGGGGCTTTGTACAGCTCTGTGTCTTCTGTGTATTGCGGAGGGAGGCCCTTGAAGTTGGAGAGGGCAGCCTTCCAGTGGTCCACTGCGGCTTCGCAGTCAGCACTAGCCCCTTCTTGAACAACGTAAGCGTAGGTGCCATCAAGCGCGCCTGACTTTGCAGGAGAGGCTTCGCTCTGCTCGTTTTATGGACATAGCACATGGAGGATAGGCTGGGAAATAAATGGGGTGCAGTTAACTGCCTATGCATATTTGTGTGTGTATTTCTGGGAGTAAGCTGTGGCGTCGAAACCCATACAAGAAAGCTGGCTGTTGAGGAATTCAGTGTCACGTCTTACAGCTTTCAACGCCGTGCAGACTGACTCGACGTATGTCGCCGGGGTTGCCCCCGCTGTTTTGGAAACCGAGTCTATTGGGAGCTTTTCCTCTGTAGTCTCTCCCACTGTAAATTCGGCGAAGCCAACAAGTTTGCGGGCCTCGTTCATTGACGCCGAGCAGTCCACCCGCTTTGCCGTGTCTGCACACACACTCGCCTCAAACATGTGCGATTTCAACTTGTTTTTTTCTTGCTTTCTGGATAGCATGCATTTATAAACAAAGTTTCAGAGGGTTCACAGGTGTCGCCCGCACTTTCAGCTGCGTTTGCTGTGTTGGTGTCCAGCAAGAAAATGGTGGCGGTGGCCAACGTCAGGAACTTGAGACCAAACATTCTCGAGGTCCTGAGGCGTAGTTGTGAGCATGGGGTGCCTAGGGTATTATAAAACACATTTAAAATTCCTAATAAGGTACGGACAACACCCGAAATATATCCTCAGCGACGCGGGAGTCGGTGGCGGTGCATTTGGGGCGGTCTCGAAGCCTCGGCGCTTGGTACAAGGCCTCCTTCTGCACACAGCTGTTCGGCACCCCTCTCCAAGGTATTATGCTCTTCAAGTACTATAATATGTTATATTTCAGTGTTATATAATTGACAATTCACTTTCGATGAATTTCTTTGGGCACGGAGTCTTCGCGTCTCGTGACGCGGGATACCCAGCCGAGTTAGGCTCCTCCAACTCTTCATTTCTACGCCATATCTGGTGGGCAAGTAGCATTTGTGGTGGTGTTTTCGTCTTTTGGTGGCGTGGTCGCCTTATATAAAGGAATTATGCAGGTTTGTCTGAGCGTNTGGTGGTGTTTTCGTCTTTTGGTGGCGTGGTCGCCTTATATAAAGGAATTATGCAGGTTTGTCTGAGCGTTTCTTCATCCACTGGTGGGATAGTCCCTTGAACACCTGCCCTGGGTGAACCATATGAATGTTTGCAGAAAGGACATAAACTTCGACTCTATGTCATTGCATCTATATTCAATCACAGTACGGCATACCAACCCTCAACTTAAGTTGCTGACTTGGTTTTCTCGCTTGCCGCGTTGCCGCTCCAACTCGGAAACCTGATGCTGGACCGGACCCTTTACTGTTTCTGCTCAGCTAACGTACAGGAATACGTAGCATGGATTGCGTGAAGTGAGTACATGCATTGCTCGTCGCGTGAAGGAGGCCTAAAAACGCCCATATGAGTGCTCAACAATTGTTTATAGTGTTAGTGCATGCCGTAGAGCAGAGGGGCTTGCCTCTGCTTGCACGTGGGGTTTTCCTGCAGCACCAGTTGCAACAGGGTAACCTAAAATTCACAGTNGCTTGCCTCTGCTTGCACGTGGGGTTTTCCTGCAGCACCAGTTGCAACAGGGTAACCTAAAATTCACAGTTTTTCAAACCCCACTGCGGAAGCATATTAGGGCGTTCATGTAGAGTAGCCGGATGCGGTGTATTCCATTGCCGACTCTTACATGTCGTACATTGATGGCCTTGCACCCCTGTAAAAAGCTTGCTCAGCGGTACTGCAAACCGTCCCAGGTTTCCTCAGTACCTGCACCCGCATGGCTCATCAAGTTTTCAGACCCCAAGCCCTTTAGCTGCGAGGCCTTCAAGCGCTTGTCAGACGCTATATCTAACGATTGCTTGCAATTCACTAAACTGACGCTTAGTGTAGCGAACTATAGGATGTCTCCAGAGTGGAATGAAATCCACAGGGAGCTCAGAGGAGAAGAATGCAAACTGCTGTGGCAACAAAGCCAAGGAACGTAGGCAATGCTGGTGCAGCGCTTTTGTTGAGTCCAGCAGTGATCTGATCCCACTGGGCTTGCCTGAAAACACATCCCACTCTCACGCAATCAATCTTTGGGCTTACACGAAGCCGTAAAAGACTGACGAGTTCAACAGCGGTGTTCAACTTACGTGTATGGGGCGGCGTCCTTATTTAAGGCCTTTGGCGTGGTGACGCAAACAAGAGCCTTCACTTCTTTGTCAGTGGTGGTCTCACTCCCGCTGCCCTGCCCTGGGCCGTTCCCATTGCTATTACCTCCACCAGTCTCCTCTTCCTCTCCTTCCTCCTGGTCGTCCTCAACAACTTCTTGTTGCTGCTTCCCCGCCTTTTTTGCTGGGCAGGTGAAGTATGCGCAGTCCACTTTGGGATTTTCACTCGGGTTGAAAAGGGAAATGAAGGAAATATTTTGACGGTTGTCG